CCCCAAAACCCCAAAACCCCAAAACCCCAAAACCCCTTTGCCTTTAATTAATTTTGAATTTTTTTAAAATGATGAATATGTCTAGTGTCGAGGGCAAAAAGAAGCTCCTCGGCAGTGACCAGGTGATTCAACAGTCTTTTGGAGGTAAGCAGCATAAATTATTTTAGCTTTTATTGAGAATTTACCCTTATTTAGGACCAGGGAATGAAGGATGGATCACCCATTTGAGAGAATCAAAAGATAGCTTATTTACGCATGAGTTCCTGCCAAACCCGCCTCCTTTCTTTTTTAAGGAGAGAATGTCTAAATTGGATTGGAAGGAGGTCTCTAAAGTAGATCCAAATAAAATTAAGGCTAATGTCGATCTTCCAAAGATGAGCAGCATGCTGAATAACTTGGTGTTTGGCTATGTCGATTCTGAAGAAATAGAGAGATTTGGAGAGAGAATGGCCACTAAGACCATCCATATGCTTCAATACTGTGTTGAATATTTGCTTTATGTCCAAGATTATGTCACTAAGTCATGTGAACTTCTTGATTCCAAATATAAAGAACTTGATGAAGATTATACAATTGTTTATGAAATAGCAAAGAAGAGGAAAAAGCAGATTGACCTGCTCAAAAGTGATATTAAGAACAAAAATAAAGTTATTGAAATGTATGAACTCATGATCCAAAAATCCAACGATGAAGAAGCTCTTGCTTACTCATGCATCCATTGTCCTGAGAAATTTCTGTCTCTTCACCTGCTCAAGCAGCATCATAGCCAATTCCATCGCAAGAAAGATTTCGATGAGTCTCTTTACACAAAGAACATCCATCATAAGAATGCTAAGGAGAGAAAAGAACTAGAACAAAGAATGCTTGAAGAACAGCAAAGAAGAGAGAAGATCAAGGAAAAAGAACTCAAGGCTCTCCAGGACGACCTTAAAAGTCTCCGTAGAGACCTCAGCCATGTCATGAAATCCGAAATATCAGGAATAGTTAAAGACAAGGACGATAATCTCAAAATGATCGACAAGAAGTTGGTCGAGATGAAGTCAATGGTAACCAGTACTCTTGCACATAAGGATGATCATAAGAAATGGGTTGAAGATCATGAAGATATGCAAGAGACCAAACTTTCTGACCTTAAAACCCACATTGACACCACTCTTGTCAAGTACAAAGAAGATCTCGATCAGAAGTTAAAGACTATCAACAGAGAGAAAGATAAGGTCAGAGAAGACCTTCAAGCTGAAATCTCTGGGAAGGATAATGAATTATCTATATACAAAAAGAAAATAGATCAGCTGAAAAGAGACCTGAACAAAGCCCATGAAAACCTAGAATCTAAAGACAAGGAGGCGAAGGATGCCAACTCTGTCCTTTCGAAGACCCAAACTGAAAGAGATAGCTCTGCCAGAACTAAGAAGGTTATTGAAGACAGACTTGCAGTACTTGAAAAGCATAATGATGGACTCACAACAGAGAATGGCAAGCTCAAGAAAGAAGTGAAGGACCTAGAGAAGGACCTTACCGAGCTGAATAAACAGCTTGAGAGCACTGGAGGCCAAAAAGACTCCATGATTGCTTCTCTGAATAGAGAACTCAAGGAAAAAGATGACAATTATGCCCTTCAAACCAATGAACTAAACAAACTAAAGGCTGAGAAGAACAAACTTGATGATGAGAAAGAAGACCTCATCAGAGAAAAGAACAAGCTAACCAAAGATATCGAGGCTAAGAAATTCCTTGCAGATAAGGATACTAAGAAAGAAATCAGGGACCTTACTATCCAAGTCAAAGATCTTGAAAAACAGCTCAAAGAGTCAGACCAAAAGAGGAAGGAACTTGAGGATGAGATCAGAAAACTAAGAGAAAACCATAAACAACATATAGAGGAAGTTAAAAAGTTAGAGAAGTCTAAGAAGAAGTATGAGGCGTCAAAGCCAGAGGAACAGAAAAAGCCTGAACCAAAGCCAAAGCAGAAGACATGGAAGCATACAAAGTTGAGCATCATTCTTCGTGAATATAGGAATTTGTCTGAAAGTAAAGGTTTCAAACTAACTTCTAGACAGGGATAATAAACCACCAGGGATGGGTGAGATCATCAAGGATAAGGAAGAAGTACTTTCCCATAGCTCTTCTCTTGAGCCTCATAGTCTAAGCTTGGCTGCCTTATATAAATTGATGGTCGACAAGAATCAATATCATGAAATGTTAGATCATAAATACAGAGATCCCATGAAGACAAAGTTCCAGCATACCTTAACAGAATTTGAAAAATTAAGGAAGAAGGTGGCAAAGAAGAGCGTCAAATATGAAGGAGGCTTAGTCAAGAAGTACCTCAAGACAAAGGATAACATCCTCACTGAGGAGCTCTCAGAGCCACAGCTAGATAGGCTCAATGACCTCTTTGTATCCAAGAATCGGGATGTTAAGAATGACCTCAACTCCCTTGATGGAGAAATTCAAAAGAAAGAGGATAATCTCAGACCTAACAAAGATGCTGAGAAGAGAAGGGAGAAGATACTTAAGAAGGAAACCATTCTAGAGAATGAGAGAGCAAAGAAAGAAGCCCTTAAGAAGAGCAAGGAGAAGAACAAGGAGAAGACCATATCCAAGGAAGAGAATAAAGAACCTGAGTCTAGCAGGAAGAATAAGAATAAAAAGAAAGATAAAATCATTGTTTAAAAGATTCAATTAAGAGTTTAGCCTAAGGGGTTTTGGGGTTTTGGGGTTTTGGGGTTTTGGGGTTTTGGGGTTTTGGGGTTTTGGGG